TACATATATAGATATATATATTTTTATATATAGATATATATGAATGTATGGATATATACATATATTCACAGATATATACATACATACATACATACATATATATATTCATACATATATATATATATAGTAAAATTCGTTGTGCGTTGCTGAAACAATGCGTAGCAAAAACATTAACAACAACAAAAAGTTCAAGAACTACTTACTTATAAATAATGTTATTAATTTTATGTGTATTCGATTATCTTCTAATAACTACCTACTAATTATGTGCACTATTAAAACTCATGTAAACCGTTTAACAAGTAAAACATTTTTTTTTTTCGTAAATCTATTATAAATCGATTCATTTGTTTTAATGGTGTTCGCATTTATGGTGCAGCCTTAAAGGCTTGCAACAAATCGAATGCAACAAGTCGAGTGAAATCTTCGCTTGTCTCTCTTATACTCACTCCAGCAGCTGTTGTCACAAAGATTGAAGTGCGCATAGAGACTGATCCCAGCTAAAGTTGGCCTCTGAGTAGCAGTTTTTACTCGATTTTGCAACAGTCCCAAAAGTAGGCAATTTAATTTTTACTTTCCCTGCAGCTTTGTATTAAGAAATTGTACTTCTTTTCTTATCTGCAATCGTAAATGTTATACTCGCTTACTATTTGTTGTCAAAATTAAATGTGCGGGGTAATGTGCATAGGTCCAACTCAAATTTGCAATTTCTGCTCTATAAGTATTTTCGGTTTTCAGCCTTTGGTATTTAGTACTTTTTGTAGCACAATTTTAGGATCAACGTACAACAAATATGCATGTAAATACTTGAAACAGTCCTTACATTCCAAATAATTATGTTCAAACTAAACTACATCATACGTTTTATTTAAAAGCAATTTATAAAAAATCATTTACGTTCAGGTTTGGCGCTATGGCTCTGTGTATACTTTCTGTTCTCGCATTTTGGCACCAAAAATGGCCAGTGGCACACTTTCTAGCTGCGCTTATAAAATACCAAAATGCTGGTATTTTTTGTATGATTTTGGTTATTTTCTGAGCGCTTGCATTTAGTGTGTTTTTGTGCTTACCTCGCCGCGGCCACATTGTTTATTAGTTAGTTAATGTTTGTTGCTGCGCGGTTGGCACGTCGCGCGTCTCCACGCGCACGCATCGAGCTGTTACATTTGTTTTCCGTTTTAAATGTTTGCTGCATTTGCGCGCAGTTGACGTGCATTTAAAAAAAAAAAATCCAAATAAAACGCGAGCGATTTTTTTTTTCGAATGCTTTTTTTTTCTTCTCTGAATTACAAGTGTGGTAATTGTTTTGGTCAAGTGTTTTGGTTTTGTTGCTGGAGTGCAAGCMGTCGTAAATTTAAAAATAATACACAGAAAAACGCATATACATATGCACGTGTGTGCAGCCTTATGT